CCGATTCTGATGCTTCCAAACTGGAAGTAACCAAGTCTATGATAAATCCGTTTCCAGTATTGGTAAGTTTTATAATTTGATGAACAGAGAAAAATGAGCCCCAAAATCCCAATTTAAGTGGGAATCTAACCAGTTTATTGCCTCATATTGGAAGTTACCATGACTACTGTGGTGCATCTAGGTCGACCTGACAACATGACCAAGACTAGGTGAACCCACCTCTTAATGGTAAGGCTCCAGAGGTAAATCAGAGAATTTGTTGGTAACTAAACAAGCACAAGAAGAAGATAGAGCTCTGCCTTGATCGAAGATCCAGGATGAAGAACTGGGATAATGAGGCTGGAATGTGTCATTAAATACGATACTAAAGAGTATATTAGACAATGATGAATAGCACTCAGAAAAAGCGCTATCAAAGATAGAGATACCGGTTATTCCGGGAGAACATCCTCTTTCACTGGCATCCGATAGGCACTCGGCCTCCTCCACTCTATACCAGATGCGCTCCACACCGCCGCCGCCAGTCACGTCTCGCCAGTTGCTAGTCAGCCAAACCAGATCACCCGTGGTGGCGTTCAATCGGAAGGCCTTGTAACCGTCTGGTGAGGTATCCCAGTTGGGCGTCGACAGCTCCGGAGCCAGCCGGAAGGCGACATGCTGCCCGAGTCTGGCGTCCATCGGTGGTGGCAGAAGGTATGGCCCGATTTTGTCGGGTTCCTCGGCTCTCAGTCGGGCCCGGCAGACATTCGGCCGGTCGTTGGTTGATGCAGTCCCCGAAGCCGATGGCCTCTGCCATGTAGCCTGGAATGTGCCGACTCCGCGTAGGCAGATGAGTCGTACGACGGGCGGATCCGAGTAGAGGAGACTGGCAGGCGGTTTATGGGGTACCGGTGGCCGGGAAGAGAGAGACTGGGCGTCAATGCTTGTGTACTCAATGCCTGTCGTCCAGGAAGTGGTTGTAGGATTTTTCATCTCCTCTCCAGGCCGCCAGACGGAGTGGGAGAAAACGAAGGAAGAGTCGCTGAGGGCTCCTAGAAGCCGGGGCTGGTTGTCATTCTCATCTACCACTTGGACAATTACCAAACTGCTTGCAGACAAGGGACGACTATTGACCGGCGAGTCGATGGCAACCACGGTCAGGTAGTATGTGTCACAGGCCTCTCGGTCTAGAGGACTGGAGTTTAGAAAGTAAAAATTAGAAAGTGAATATATCGGCTTTATACGCATTTCGACAGATTTTATTAGCTTTATAATGTTTAAAATAAGATTTAAAAAATACGAATGGGTTCATACTCTGAAAATGTCTGTCACATGAAAAGTGCAAGCTTCGCAAGGATGTACCGGAATTTCTAGACAGTGCCTTTTAGATTTATATGTACGATTCTACAATCACAGCGCCAAAGCGATCTAAATTCAGTTTTCAGTGAGGCCAATTGACGAATTCATTCTATTCACCTTTTTAGACAAAACAAATGAAATGAAAACAAGAATTCAAAAACATAATGGATATGAAGACCAAGATGACATGACCTTTTGTTAGTTCGCAGTCTCCTTTAGCTGTATAGTGTCGCCAAGGTGATTGGGTTTCACTAACTCCACTTGAAGCAACATACTCGTAGGCGAAAATGGAGCAAACGAGAACAGAGAATGATGTAAATAGGTAAATGGGCGATATGAGGTGGGGTTAATAAGAAAAGATACAGCACTAGAAGGTAGGAAGAAAGATAGAGGCTAGGTGTGAAGCCACAAGGGTTAAACACAAAATAGACTAAATATACCTCACATATATGATCTACTGGTAGTTTAGTAAACCTACTTATAAAGGAAAATAATTAACGTAGTCGACTGTTATACAATTTGTTATACAATTTTGCTTCATCGGCAATTCCACCACAGAATGTAATATGTGAAATTGTCAGACCTTCCTTAAATTAGGAGTTCGAGATTAACCGTATATCTTTAAAAAGGGCTTTAGCCTTCATTGTAGGAAGTATCAATATCACTTCTTCGTGATCCTAAGCAACCTAGGGTTGCTAAAGCCCTTATTCAAGACCTAGTGACAGGCTTTAAATTGTGTTTCTAGAAGAATGAGCCTGTCTGCTGGAGCAGGTTGGCGATAATTTGTAAATGCATGGGATGCACTTATCACATTTCGTTTAAAGTAAGGAAGAACGGTAGTTGAATATTCCCACAACGATATGAGTACACTATTGAATTTCTCATAACCCTGCTTCCAAAAAGGTAATTTCATCCAGAGAGGACTGCAGTTTCGACCTCGTCTAAGTCTTGTTAACACCCAAGGCGGAACTTGAATCATAAGAATGCATGTAATCTCAAAACGTCAACCACTACGCCACATTATCACGACTGCTCTTGGGCCACAGGGCAGGTGTGAATTTCAAGGAGTGCCAGGCAGTTTCCCATATAACAGTGTGGTGGGATTTTCGATAAAGCAAAGTTGTATTTGGTACTGTAATAGACTAGATTACTCATTCTTCGCAATGTGGCATAGTGATTAACGAGTCGGGATTATACACTCCACGGTCATGGTTTGAGTCCTGTTGGGGGAAATTATGAGACCTTAATTAGTCAAATCTGAAGTCCAAGTCAGCCGGGACGAGAATACCTTTTGGAAAGCAAGACTATGTAAAATTCCCTGGAAACGAAAGGTCCATTCATGTTATTGTGGGAAAATTCGACTATCGTCCTTTCTCATCTTAAACTTAATAGAGTGAACACATCTCATCTATCTGATTTACTGGTAGTCTCGAAAATCTACGTACAGACGAAAAATAAATAGCTTGTTAAGGTCAATGAATTTGTGCTGATGGAATAAATGACTTTC